CTGGAGCAAGGAGGGGAGGGGCAGGAGGAAAGAGCTTGGGGAGAAACTGGTGGAGGGAGGAGGGTGGGGAGGGTCCTAGGGAAGGAAGGGAGAGGAGGCTGGTGAGGAAGGAGAGAGGGAGAAGGAAGGAGAAGGGGGGGGGGGGCAGGAGAGCGGAAGCTACCCGGAGGAGGGCGCTCTCCTCCTGGGAAGGAGGGTCCTAGCCAATGTTCTGGAGGTCTCGGGTCTGAGCCTGATCTGCACACCCCTTGAGGACGCCTGGTGCCTGGAGGGTGGTTTTTTGGTTTGGTTTGGTTTGGTTTCTGGGCTCCTCTACATTTTTGCAGGAAGGAGGCCTTGCCTAGCCTGGAGAAGGGTACTGGATGCTGGTGACCTGGGGACCCAGAATGATCACATCAGAAGGCCCTGGGGTCTTTGAGTCCTTCAGGCTGTGCTGCGAGCCCTCCTTCCTCTGATTATAGACTGCTCAACAGCTAGACAGGGCGGTGGCGCGCGCCTGTGTTCCCAGCGCTCAGGGAGGCAGAGGCAGGCGGGTCCAGCCTGGTCTACAAAGCCAGTGCAGGACAGCTAAGGCTACACAGAGAAAGCCTGTCTCGGGAAAAGAAAAGACCGTTCACTAGGCTATCAACTCTGTGCTTTGATGAATGACGTTCGCAGGAGAGCAGCGAATTCTCTCCTAGTTGGGTTTAGTTGGGGGCAATGAGGTGGTCCAGAATCCAGTCCTTGCTTTGTCATTCCAACTTGGCGTGGGAAAAGACCCAAGCCCTCCTTCCTTCAAGTGTGTTAACAACCTTGTGAGTTCTGTGCAAGGAGGAAGCAACGCGCCCTGTTGAAAAGTGTCCCTGTTTGTGGCTAGTGACAGTGATGGGACGGGTTGTGTAGACTTGGGAAGGATATCTTAGGACAGAGAAGTGTGAACTGGAGGTGGGAAAGAACTCAGGCAGAGAGATCAGAATGACCCCCCTACCTCCCCCTGTCCAGAGGCTTGGTATCTGGAGGAATGGAACGTTCTGTGAGAGCCTGCGCAGGGACAGAGTGACAGAGGCTGAGGTGGGGGTGGAACAGGCTTGGATCAGAACCCCTTTCTTCCCTGAGAAGCTCGGGAAGCAGCTGGAGGGCACTGGCCGAGGCACAGCTCGCACGGCGGGTGAGGAGAAGCAGAAGTGCCCCAGAAGGAGGTGCAGCCTGTAGGGTTCCGAGCTCTAATGAGGGTCCTGAACTGTAGCAAGAACAGCGGATGCAGGGCGATCTTTTCTGAATGGATGCATAGCTGCTAGAGGAGAGGAGTTCAGATGTGACCCGGCTCTGCATCTAAGTGAGCAGGACAATCTTTCGGAAGTGGGTTGGAGCAAGTTCAGGATAGATGAGGCGTCATCTTTGGATACATGAAGTTTGGGTCAGGATGCTACTGGATCTATGGGTCTGAAGCTCAGGCAACACGTTGGGTCCTAAGCAGATGGGCTTGTGAGTCGCAGGAACATCGATGGCATCCAGAACCTAAAGAGACATGTCCTATGAGAAAAGAGCAAGAACCAAACAGGAGAAGTGCCTCCAGGGCACACTGCCTGAGGTCCAGTCTAGTAGTGGCTCAGTTAAATTGCTTAGTTTACAGCTCTGGCTGTCCTGCACTTACTTTGTAGACCAGGCTGGCCTCACTCTCACAGAGTAAGTTCCTCCTGAGTGCTGGGATTAAAGGCGTGCACCATCATGTCTGGCAGGGAAAGCTATTTTATCTATGGCTTTGCAAGTATGGAGTATGGAGGGTAGAGCCCAGAGGTGGTGTTGCACGCCTTTAATCCCAGCACTCAGGAGGCAGAAGAAGGCAGATCTCTGTGAGTTTGAGGCCAACCTGGTCTACAAAGGGAGTCCAGGACAGCTCGTGGTACACAGAGAAAGCCTGTCTTGAAAAAATGAAAAAAGAGCGCTGGAGAGAGAGGTCCTCAGTTCAATTCCCAGCAACCACATGGAGGCTCACAACCATCTGTAATGAGATCTGGTGCCCTCCTCTGATGTGCAGGTGTACATGCAGGCAGAACACTGCATACATGACAAACAAATCTTAAGAAAGAAGAGAAAATGTGGAGGGTAGAGGAATGCATGAGCCCCTTGCAGACCATCTGGCATAGGCAAGTGCGCCTAGAGGCCAGAGGTCTTCGCTAGGTGTCTGTTCTCTTATTTTTGGAGATAAGGTGTCTCAGTGACCTGGAGCTTTTCGATTTGACTGGGTCAGCTGGCCAATGAGCATGGGGTTCTGCCTGCCTGTTGTTCTGGAGCCCAGGGTCCACGTCTTCCCTTGGGGTATCCAGGCACCCATTCCTCCAGGTGCTGGACTCAAAGGAATGAAGCTCAGCAGGAACAGTGAGTCTGCGTGGGGGTGAGAGCCGTGGTGGGGGTTGGGGGAGCTGGGAGGCTGTGGAGGGCTGTGTTGCCACCTGTCTCTGATGCACTTTCAGAGAAACAGGCCTTTCAGTGATGTGACTCTTCCAGCTGTGTGTTTCCCAGCAGCAGGGAACAAATGTGCCCCATACTCCTGGCCTCTCAGGTAAAGGCTGGGGAGCCAGACTTAAGTTCTCATGTTTGGGTAGTACCATCCTGCCGCCTGCACTGTCTGCCCCACTCCTGGGCGGGTTATTTACATCAGCCTCTTCTGAGGGCCTCCTCTATGGAATCGGGGTGGGGGGTGAACCCTGCTTTTTTTTCCTTTTTTTTGGAAGACTTTTATTGAGATAATCTTCCCTTGCTTTGGTCAGACCTGCCTGGCCTACTTGACTATGGGAGTCTGGGGCTGTCTGCCTCAAGGTCATTCTTCTTCAGCCCAGAGGCCACAGGTCCGTTGTTGCTATGCCTCCACCAACCCTACTGAATGGTACATCATCTCAATGCATTCCTTTACATTTTTTTCCCTATCTTCTTTCCTTCCTTCCCTCCTTCCCTCCTTCCCTCCTTCCTTCCTTCCTTCCTTCCTTCCTTCCTTCCTTCCTTCCTTCCTTTCTTTCTTTCTTTTTCTTTCTTTCTTTTGGAATAGGATCATAAGTAAACCAGTATAGGCTCAAACTTATTCTATAGCTAAGGATGACCTTAAACTTTGGTCTCCACTCACTGAGTCCTATTCACTTTGCTCGTTTTCTCAGAAGCTAGGCAGTTCCAACCCTATCCCTTCCTTCAGTGAATTTTTTTTTTTTTTTAATCTCTTTTATCTTGCCTAGGTTGTAACCAGAGCAGGTGATGTCCTGATTTGGGAGCAAAGAAAACGAACATCCTGAGCTGAAGTAATATGTTCAAGGTCAGCCAATGGCACCACCCAAGCTGGGTCTTTGGCTTAATTCTCAGGACTCTGATCTGCAGATTGATGCCAGTGTAGCCTCCCCACTCTGACCCCAATCTCCATCCCCCACCCCTCTGTGGCTTTGCTATGCTGCTGGGCTTCGAAGGGAGGGGGCTGAAGTACCCAGATGTGACCATGAATTTAATATCCTTTTTGTGGGCTTCCAGCCATCAGAGGAGGAAGCTGTGTAGAGGGGGAGCCTGTGACCCATTTAATCCCCAACTAGTTAAATACCAACAAATCAGCTGGAGAGGAGAGGAGCCCAAGCTGCTTTGGCTGGCTTTCCTGGATGAACACAGCCCCAGTCCCCGAGTCTGATGTGACTCACAGGCCTGTTCTTTCCTACCCCAGCTGCTCCCTTGAAGGACACCATCTATCTCCTTTAGCTCTATGCTGTGGAGGGCAAAGCGAGTGCCAACTCCTGGGCACTGAGGGGCGTGCATCTTCAGGATCTTGCTTGGGATTTTGTGAGGGACATGATCCCTGCACAGCAAAGAAGCACTGGCCTCTGTCTCAGAGCTTTAGTCCCAGGGGCCAGCAATCGGCAGAATTGCAGAGGAGCCCTTAGGGCTTACCATGAGCAGAGTTATGCTCTCCTTTGTTGCTTTTATTTGTTTTGTTTTCTCTCCCCCTTGAACACTGATCTTCCTGCCTCCACCTTGCCATACTGTTTTCCAAAATACCTGTACCAACTCAAGTCATAATCTTAAAGACCTGAGCTGGGCAGAGGTGGTGCAAGACTTTAATCCCAGCTCTGGGAAACACAGGCTGTCAGATCTCTGTGCATTCCAGGACAGCTAGGGACACACAAAGAAACCCTGTCTCAAACAAAACAAAACAAAACAAAACAAAACAAACAAACAAAGACAAAACAAAACAAAGCGCTCTGAGTAGCTGAAGGCAAAGGAGACTGATTACTTCTGAGCCCGGAGGGGTGGGTAGCAGCCTGCTGGAAAGGCAAACTGAAAGTTTGATGCCTTTGGCCTCAAGGCTCCTCATGCCTGAAGTTTAAGAGAGAAGCTCTGAACAGGGTCCTTTACCCCCATTTCTGTCTCCCACACCCCCTTTTCTTTCCTGATTTTACTGGGATGGGCTTCAGTGACAAAAGGAGAATCAGGCCAAAGCAATCTATGCATAATGCATGGATGACCTGGGAATTAACTTTCTACCCAATGCCGAAAAGCCTTCTTGATGGACATTAAATTAACTATTCATTGCTTGGATACAGGATCCCTCACTGAACAATAAGCAAGTCATAATTCTTAATGGGCCAAGCAGGCAAAACTTCCCAGCTAGACAATAAACCAGAGGCAGTTCTCAGGGACTTGTCAATCAATAAGCATCTGCTGAGCTGTGCTGGAACGAGGCCACACAGACCAATGCTTCCCCCTTCCCTTTTTTCCTTCTTCTATTTTATTTGTGTAGTCGGAGGTATGTCAAAGATTCTCCGTCTCCAGTGCAGTGCTGGGGTTTCAGGCCTGTG